ATGACCCGAGCCGAAGGCAGTCGCTTAACCAACTGAGCCACCCAGGCGCCCTGTAGAGATTATTTTAAAACAAAATATTTATTTTATATATATATATTAGAATGCAGTCTGTCCATTAAAATAGCTTACAGCCACCTATGAATTATCTAGGCAACAGGAAATAAAACCCAAAAATTAAATCTAGAGAGAACATAAAAATCTTAGTTAGGTACCTGAGTGATTTCTATTTCTTCTTCATAGGTATCTTTTTAGGACTACTGGTAGAAAAATTGATGAATTTGATGCACACTTTTTATCAAACAAATATACCAAACTTTACTCAGATGAAATATATTTGTATGTAGGTGTTAGACGGGCATTCTTCATAAGTAAGTTATATCCTATTAGTAAGTTATACCTCCTTACCCATTTCTTGCTTTTCAAAGACCATTCATTTCCGTCTCATAGATAAATGTCTAGCATTGTTTAGATCCTTATTCATCCTTATTAATCAAGAACGGCAGGAGAATTTAGTGGCCCAAAAGTGAATTTACCAAATTCAGGAGAATGGTTACCTCTGGGAGCAAAGAAACAAAATGTCATCACAAGGGAATGCAGACATAGAGCTAGGGGTGAGGTGGGATATCTCTCTTTTTAATTTCATTTCTTAAGCTGGGCAGTGGCCCCAGAGGATCCTTTATATTTTTCTCTAGGCCTTATTCTATTTATGAAACATTTCATTAAAAATTTTTTAAAAATTAAAAATTCCTGGTGATCAAGGTAAAGTGAATCAAGTCCTGACTTTGGTCCTAAAAATCTGTTGCTGACTCACTTTTTGATCCATGTGCTTCAGTTTCAGTAAAACATGAAAAATACTTTGTAGTAATTTCATCTGGCAAGTTCTCAGGGGGAAAACACACTTTTAGAAACTAAATAACATTGAGGGGCCTGGGTGGCTCAGTCAGTTGGGTGACTGCCTTCGGCTCTGGTCATGATCCTGAGATCATGGTCCTGGGATCAAGCCCCGCATTGGGCTCCCTCCCCGGTGGGAGGCCTGCTTCCCCCTCTCCCACTCCCCCCTTGTGTTCCCTCTCTCGTTGTCTCTCTCTCTGTGTCAAATAAATAAATAAAATCTTAAAAAAAACCAACTAAATAATACTAAATTACAAGACATTTGGGAATGTTACCTGTGTTCTCACACTTTAAACTTTTCTTTAAAGTCATCAACATTTTTCATTTCTGAAAAAAAGAGCAGCCTAGGACTGAACATGTTTTCTGCTGCTTCCGAAATCAAAGAGAAGGTACAAATCTTTTTTTTAAGTGTAATGTCAAGAAATGATTCCCAGGCTTTCCCCCACTTTGTTTATATTTCCAACCCTTTAACAATTCCACTTAAAACTACTTTTCCCACCTTTACATCTTCATCTTACACAAAACCCCACACAGGTGGGAAAATGAGTCTTCAGGGACAATGGACTTTCATTTCACTCACAAGCCTTGAAACTCTAAGCTACACTTGCAATTACCAGCTTGGTCTCTAGCTACCTCTGAGACAATAACACTTCAAATGTAAAGCACTGACATCAGAAATGTTTATACCAAAGAACTGCCTTATGAGAAATGGAAATACCAGCACAATGGGAAAAGCCGGAGACTTATTTGGAGAATGTATAATTGAATCTAAGAAATTATAACAATTCTTGAAAATGGTCCAACTTACAGAAGTCAACAGTTCTAGTTCTATGCCATATATATCTCAAGTCCCGCAACATGCTAGTAAAACAACACTGAATTCTAAATACGATTTCCTGTAGTACTTATCTTCTGCAAGAGCAAGAAATTAATAGATGGTTTCCTAGCAGTATATATAAAAAAAAACTCCAAAGGGATCAAGTAAGACAAAACTATGAGTGGTAAATTAATATAATTGAGTGAAAAACAACTTACAAATTTTCATTCATTCTTTACAAAGTTGTAAATGTCCTAAAGTTACAAACAACAAAACCCTCACAACCTTCAACTTCCTATAAAATATTCAATCTCACCTATTCATCTGCCTTGCCTCTGTCAAGATTTTGTTTCCTTGCCTTCTATTACTCACCAACTGCATCTGGATTTACCGGTCTGGAGACGTCAGCTTGCCCCATGATTAAATTGTCTGATGTATCTCACGACAACAAACTGTCCCGGACCAAAGAAAACTTTTCTTAAAAGATAAATCCACATAGAGAGGGGACAGGCACTCCTCTCTCAGCGTCACTCCCAAACATCAGGAAAGAGCATGAGATCAGTTAATCTGCTGGAGTTTCTGTTCCCTGTATCCTGGCCTGGGCACTTGTGGTTCTTACAAATATGTCTTCACGCTGGCTCTCCTCACACAGGAATGCCTGTCATTCCAGTGCGCACACTGTGAAGAGCTCAAGTGCAGGAAGGGGAGGAGACTGCCAACTACATTCTAGGGGCTGGGCGGCACAGCCCCAAAAAGCCACACCTACTTTTCCTGACCCGGAGCTTTTGGTTGTAACTCTCCAGACTCACCACCATAGAAGAAGGGAGCCTGCTCAAGAGTCTACCACAGAACTTGTAAATGTAATCATACAAAAAACATCAGGGTTATGCACAGCAGACTGATGGGAGTAGAATTCAACTCAAAGGTATGTCTTCAATATAGGCTTGCCTTAAAAGTATCGATTGTTCTTATATTTCACTGCTTGCTCTAAAATTGTAGTGTTTCCTACCTGTAAGTGGCATACCCTAAGCAGGATTTGATCTATACTTGGGGAATTAATAACATCAGAAAGGATATTTTTGGACTGAATATACCTTTTCTAAAAATAAAAAGAAACAGTTCTGACAGTTTTCCTTACTAAAATAGTAAACTTGAAATAAATGTTTGGAAGATATTATACAATATTTCTTTTTTTTTTTTTTTTTTTAAAGATTTTATTTATTTATTTGAGACAGAGAGAATGAGAGAGAGAGAGCACATGAGAGGGGGGAGGGTCAGAGGGAGAAGCAGGCTCCCTGCCGAGCAGGGAGCCCGATGCGGGACTCGATCCAGTGACTCCAGGATCATGACCTGAGCCGAAGGCAGTCGCTTAACCAACTGAGCCACCCAGGCGCCCTATACAATATTTCTCTTTCTGATAAAGCTCAGTAACCACCATATGATCTTGGGGATTACAAAACTATTGCGAGTAACCCTACATGTTGCTTATAATACATGGAAATATCAGCTAACCACAGGCAGCAACTGAAGGTCCAGCTTGCATACTGATTTTTCTTTTTTAATAATATAACTAATTTACATATAGCCAAAATACATAAATATTAAGGACACAGTTTGATGAATTTTTATTTGTAAGTGCCGAAGTCCTTCAACAAGACAGCTACTAAAAAAAAAAACAAAAAACAGAGCTTTTAGTTTAAATCTTCATTTTCCAAACTGAGATCACAGAACAATTTCTAGTATTTGGACTTTCCTCTTACCTTTTCTTAGCACCTTCTCCTTTCCCCCTATTATCTTATCCCCATTATCTGCTTTTGATATAGGAAAAAATAGCAAAGGTAACAAATAAGAAAATGATAATGCCAAGGCAGTGGTAAGAAAAAAATTGCAGAAAAACTTAGGCAACATTTAATTGTTCATACTGGTAGTAGTCAGAAGAACATTATGTTGACCATTAAAACAGGAAAGAGTAGGGGCGCCTGGGTGGCTCAGTCGTTAGCGTCTGCCTTCGGCTCAGGTCATGATCTCCAGGTCCTGGGATCGAGCCCCACATCAGGCTCCCTGCTCAGTGGGCAGTCTGCTTCTCCCTCTCCCTCCACCTCTCCCCATTGCTCCTACTCTCTCTCTCTCTGTATCTGTCTGTCTCAAATGAATAAATAAAAAATTCTTTAAAAAAAAAACAAAAACAGGAAAGAGTAAAAGGAAAAACATATTGAAACAATGCTCTAATGTAAGAATGCCCAATGCCTTGGGGCGCCTGGGTGGCTCAGTTGGTTAAGCAACTGCCTTCGGCTCCGGTCATTATCCCAGAGTCCCGGGATCGAGTCCCACATCGGGCTCCAGTCCCACATCGGGCTCCCTGCTCGGCAGGGAGCCTGCTTCTCCCTCTGACCCTCCCCCCTCTCATGTACTCTCTCTCTCTCTCTTATTCTCTCTCTCAAATAAATAAATAAATAAAATCTTAAAAAAAAAAAAGAATGCCCAATGCCTTTAAACCCTGGCACTTATTTATTAGCCTAAAAGCAGACCATGTGTAATAGGTTTCTACACTATAAAATGGGGAGGAAAAAGGTGGCAAATGCACTGCCCAGAACCCAGTAGGTGCTCAACAAATTGTAGTAATCATCATCATCACCACTGTCTCCATCACCATGGCCAGAGGGTGAGCTTTGGGGGAGCCTGGGTGACTCAGTCGGTTAAGCGCCTGCCTTCGGCTCGGGTCATGATCTTGGGGTCCTGGGATCAAGCCCCGCGTAGGGCTCCCTGCTCTGCAGGGAGCCTGCTTCTTCCTCTCCCTTTGCCTGCCGCTCCCCCTGCTTGTCCTCTCTCTCTCTGTCAAATAATAAATAAAATCTTAAAAAATAAATAAATGACAAAACTAAAAAAAAAAAAAAAAGAGGGAGAGCTTTGGAGGCAGCTGAAATTTTAATTCCAGATCTATCACTAGGCGTTAACACTAGGCAAGTTACTTCACCTCTGCGTCTCAGTTTTCTGATTTGTAAAATGGGGCATAACCATACTTAGCAGCACAAGGCAGGTGTAAGGACTAAATGACATGAACATAAATAAAGCCCTTTGCAATGTGCCTGGCACACAAAAAACTCTCAATAAATGCAAGCACTAATGATCACAGTTGTTATAGTAAAAAAACAAATCAAGAAAGGAAAGGCCAGGAGCAGCCAGACAATGGTAGATGGCAAAAAACTCAGTCATTACAAAGAGGTTAGTCAGAAACGGAAGAGGATGACATTTCTTTATCATGAATTCAGAGAGCAAATTGGAAGAAGTAAGCCAAGGAGGAAGTCTGGACACAATCAGGGTTGCTATACAAAAACATCAAGCAGATGGAACAGTGCATGCACACACCCAAACACACACCCAAACACACACACACACACACACCCCAGAAACAGTACTGTAGAATTTAGTTTATGCTGACAGGACCATACAAGAGTACAACAACAGATATGTGGATCCTGGTATAGCTGCTGTTTACCACCTTCGTAAGTTAAATGCCCATCTTGGCTTGGCTCATTGCTTACTCTAGAGTACTGTGAAGGTCACAATAAAACTTAAAAATACAAGAATGAAAGGATTCTTAGTGACCATTAACTGCCTTGCTCAGAGCCTGGACTAAAACCCAAGTCTCCCAGTTCTAACTCCAGGACGCACTTTGGCCCTTGTGTAAATGGTCAGAAATATTTATTTCCTAAAGATATACTCATTTCCCAAGGAAGCCCATTCTCTACAACAACAACAAATCTCTCTGATCATTCTGCTGCCTTTGTACCAGGCTGATACACGGTCACTGGCCAGCCCGTTTCAGTTTCATTCCAACAATCAATATTTACTTGGTGCCAATTGGTAAGCAAGCAAGCTGAGAGAGAGAGGAAGATACTGGCCCACTGATGACTTTAAAATTTAACTATCAGGGGCGCCTGGGTGGCTCAGTCAGTTAAGCAGTTAAGCATCTGCTTTCAGCTCGGGTCATGATTCCAGGGTTCTGGGATAGAGCCCCACATCGGGCTATCTTGCTCAGCAGTGAGTCTGTTTCTTCCTCTTTCTCTGCCTGCTTGTGCTCACTCACCCTCAAATAAATAAAATCTTTTAAAAAATAACATAAAATTTAACAATCAAAGCCTTGAGTTCATTCTAGTTTTCCATGTATTATATTTTAGAAATACAAAGGGTGGGGCAGTTGGTTCAGCGGCCAACTCTTGATCTCAGCCCAGGTCTTGATCCCAGGGTCGTGAGTCTGAGCCTACTTAAAAAAATGCAAAGCGCAATCTTCTTTTAACTTTACAGTAAGTAGACAACTGTTTCTTCTTAACTGTCCCCTTATAAAAGATAGTCTCTTTTTAGAGTACTTTTCCTCCACAGCTTACTGCCTCAAAGAATGGGGGAAGTGACAGATTAAAATTTGTGAATCTCTTCCTATATTTATGGAAAGAGCAAGAAGGCCTTATAAAAATAAAGTTTAACAGGCAAAGATAGCACTTGAAGCCCTCTAACCAGAGCCTCATTTTTTTAAAGAACTGCTTCTAAACACTGCAAGTAACCTATAAAGAGCTGGGCATTCAAAACTTAGTGATGTTTATAACTCCAAAGCCTTTTGTTGGCAAGCACATCATATCACACACAAACATGAGAATATGATTTATTTAGTTTACAAGATCAATCACAAGAGCATAATGCTTTCATTTAAATGTACTTTTATGTTGAAGTACCAATATAAATTGGATTACTTACGGGAGTAAGCTCTTAGTGATTTTAATCACATCTCCCTCAATTTACTTCAGCATACTACTTTCTCCTGGCCTGAGATGTCTCAAGGAGGTGAGCTCTAATGAAAGGTTGGGAAGAAAGTCACAGAAAGTACTAACAGGTCACACATACATATTGAAGTAAAGGATTAATTTTCAACTTCTGGATCTATAATTGGGGGAGGGAGTAGCTTCTTATTCTTTACCGCATGATGTAACTCTAATCTAGTCTGGCTGGCTCTGGATAGTTATAGGAAATAACATCCGACAATAACCTGTTTCTCAGACTCCATGTGGAAATTAAAAAGCCTTCTCAGTCACTTGTAAAAACTTTTCAAGGTCTCATCTATTCGTACAAATTCTTCACTTGGCCTGGATTTTTTCTTCCCCAGATCCATCTAGGGAACTTCTACTCATCCTTTAAGAATTGGCTCAAATGTTGCTTCCACTATTATGAGTCATTCTTTAGTCATTCAAGGAGAATTCCAATAAAGATTTGCTGATCACTGATTATGTGCCCAGCAATGTGTTGGTGCTAAAACAACAGTTTTAGCCCTTAACGTGCTGACAGTTCAAATAAATAGGATCTACAATAATCAATACTTAGGTACTATGCAAACATACTGGTAGGGGTGGGAGTGTCTAGCTTGGTCTTGAGAGATCAAAGAAAATCTCTCAAAAGAAGTGACATCTAAGATCAAAAAGTTAGTCACAGAAGAGATGACAGAGGTGAGAAAAAGATATAAGCATCAAGACATAAGATTGGAGAGGTAAAGAACTGATCATGACTGATTGTGCTGGACATATCACCCTAAATTGCAATGATCTTCTGACCTCTCTTATAGGCTAGAAACTTCTCATGGGCAGGGATCGTGATGTATTTATCTTTAAACCCTCAATGCCTGACATAACTCAGTGCACTGTGGACATGCAACCGTATTTATTAACCTTGAACAAAGGGAAGAAATAAAATTCTTCAATTTTAAGCTTTGTTCACAAAATCTAGTAACAAAAGGCAATTAAGGTGAAAAGTGCTACAGACGGAGGCTGGAAGAAATCATTCCAAAGAATCCCAAGAATTGATGTGAAACTCTTGTTTTGGGGGAAAAAATGGCATGTTCATGATAGTTTTG